TTGCTTTCGAACTGAAGGCGCACGCCTTCGCGCTCGAGAACGTCCAGGCGAACGGGGTGGCGGGCGCGGTGCTGGGGGGAAGGAGAAGCGACACCACCACCACGGCCACCAGGGGGCCACCTCCAAGGAGGAGGTCAACGATGCCTTCCCGAGCTGGGGTTAGGGAGAGGGGGGACCACACCACCAGGGTCCCCGCCCCCCTGGCTTCTCCCGCTGGTGGTCCCTAGTGAGGGTGGTGTCCCAGATGCGACGTCTTGTGTCTTTCAATGCGGGGTCCCCGGAAGTCCCGACCCTTCCCCCAGGACCGGTTCTTCATCCTCAGTAGTTGTGTGACCGCCTCGTCCCGTTCGTCCCCCTCCTCCTGGTCCTCCTCCTTCTCCTCCGCGTCGCCGTCGTCGTCGTCGTCGTCGTCGTCATCGTCGTCGTCGCCATCCGTCCTGATTTTTGATAGGTCACGAGCATGACTGGAGTCGCTCCTCCTTGCCCCCAGGTGCGGAGCCTGCTCGCGGACGCGGACGCCCTCGCGGACCTCGGCCTCGGCACCTTTGACCGCGTCGTCGCACCGCGACCGCTGGGCTCCGCCACGGCGGGGGCGCTGGCCGCGCTGGCCGGCGCCGTGGCGCCGGGCGGCCACGCTCACGTGTACGGTTTCGGCGCGGTGGTCGCAGTAGGGGCGGTCCGACCCCATCTGGGAGGCCTTTCGAGTCGGGGATCGGAGTGGGTACAGTCGGGGCGCTGAAGAAGGAACCCTTCTCGTTGGGGAGGGGCTCCGTGTTCCTTCATTGTTTTACAGCTTGCCTGAGGTTTTCCTTAGGTTTTCGATGGGAATCAAAGTTTGACTTAGGGGAAAATGGGGACCCCGTTCCTTATTTAGGGTTCCTTAGGTCAACGCCTCGACTGTACGGAAATAGCGTGGACGGAGAGATCGACGAACGAGTTGGAAATGTCTGGAAGCGGGAGCACAAGTAGTGGGTACGGCTATGATCGGTACAATCGACATGGGCACGGCAAGAGCGGGGACGAAACCAGACAGCGAGTCCTGTCCATGTGGGGCAGGAATTGCAGTTTGCGTGATCGCGGGCGTCCACATTCGAGACAGGAGGCCACCTGCTCAACTTCGGCCGATGCCGGTTTTGCACAGCATATGTTGCTGGGCATTGTACCCATTTGTCCCGCACCCACTGCGGGCTTGCAGATATGTAGCACTTTCGCAGTTGCGGACAAGAGTGAGGGTGCGGCGGGGTTGTGGGCAGTCTGTGAGGCTCTGAAGAGGCCCGTCGCAGGCGCCGATGTTTCAGCACACTGCCCAACGAGCCCGTCGCAGGCGTCGACTTCTCGCCAAAGCAATGCGGGTGGGTCGCGCGTGGGTCGAGGGTGGGTCGCGGTCGGGTCGCGGGGTGGGTCTCGGGGGGGATCGCTGGGCAGATCGTGCGCGGGTCGCGGGCGAGGACGACAACAGCAACGGCAGCGCAACAACATTACAACAACAACACCAATCACAACACCAACAACAACACCAACAACAACACCAACAAGAACAACAAGAACAACAACACCAACACCAGCAACAACAGCAACGCAGCAGCAATCCGCACCGCGGAACCCCACGTCAGCCACGCGCCCAGGGACAGTGCTTGACCAGTCGGACCCCTCACTCTGATCAGCCAGTCGATTGCTGATGTGTCCGCTCGTCTTCGATTGAAGATCTATTGGCAAATGGTGTCCAATAGTTAGCGCTGCATAGCGCCAAACAGCGACAAATAGCGCCGATGGGCGTTCAAATAGCGCCCCCTGGCGACCAACAGCGCCCAACGGCGCCACGCGAGGAGGACGCATTCGGTGCGCTCTGCGCGCGGTTGGGCGTACCACTGGGCACCGTGAGGACGACCACGAGCTTCGGCGAGCTGCCTCCTGGTGGCTTACATGTGCCCAGAGGCGGGCGCCCGCGTCTCTGCACATCACCGGGAGCTCCAGGTATCGATCCCCCTTCCGTTATCACGAGCGGAGAAAAAGACACAGACACAACAATTAATCGACCCTGGAGAATATGGGAAACTATGGGAAGTGGGGGGGGAAGACAAAAACCCAGAACATATGGGGAATCCTGTTATTTGTGTGTGTGTGTGTTTATTTGTGTGTCCCAGGGCCCCTTCAGTATTGATTGATCCCCCCCCTCCGTTACCCTCATCACTCGAAACCAGTTAAATACTTCGGATTGGGTGGCCCGCCGAGCGATATCGTTAGCACCCAAATCGATTCATTTCACTCCCCATGGGGGGGCTCCGGAATCCTCAGGAATCCTCTAGAATTTGACAGGATACTTTTTTTAGGAATTGATGAGGAAACGGCAGACGTCCGCAGGAATCCGCAGGAGTCCTTGAGGAATCATTCTGGGAGCCTTCAGAATCCTGAGGGATCCTCGGGGTTCTATGGGATCCTTTCAGGCATCTTTTTCGAAAGCTCAGGAATCGTCATTAGCCCGCACGAATCCTGGATGAATCGTCAAAATTCCGTCCGCACTTCTCGGGAGCCCGTCAGGATCTTCGTGAACCTTGTAGGAATCCTCAGAAATCTTCAGGAATCCTGTGGAATCCTTAGGAATTCGTTCAGGAAGCCTTCAGGAATCCTGCAAGAATCATGCAGGGATCCTCCAAGAATCCTCAGGAATGCTCAGGAATTCTTTCAGGAATCCTGCAGGAACCTTCAGGCATATTTTGGGATCCGATTTTAATCCGACGGGGGTCTTGTGTGAATCCTATTATGGTCTTGGTCTCTTGGTGGGATCCCATACTGAGAGTTCTGGGTGCGGAACATCACTTCCAGAGGCGGCAATCGAAACACTTTCGCTTAGAAAGGGGTGCCGATAATTGGAGTCCACGTTTATGTGTTATGCCCGCCGCTCTCATACCATTGGATAACCGATGTTGTTCGGTCGCGATCGGTAGCGACCGATCGGCACTCTAAATTGGTCGCGACTGGTCGCGACCGATCGCGACTGGTAATTACAAGAATTGGAGGCAAAATCGGTAGCGACCGATCACGACCGAAAAGATCGAGCATCCAATGATCCACAAAGCAATACAATCCAATACAGAAGCCATGCGCCAGCCCTGGGCACGGCGCTTAGGCACCGCTGTCTTCATTAAGCCGGGTATCAGGCAGGCTGCGTGGGCAGAAAGAAGCAGCAGAACGGCCGACTGCGAAGCAGCGCTGAACCACACGCAGAGCGCCCGACCGTGAAGCAGAACCCACAAAAAGCACCCGAAATAATGCTGCAAGGAAACGGGGCACGCGGGGAAAGATAGGGGAACGAACAGTGACACAAACATAACAACTCGGAGGCCCGCGCGGATTTCTCGGGTCGGTGCTCGACCTCCCTCCCTGGCGCGCGGAGCGCGCCAGGGGCCGCGCCGGAGGCGCCGCCAGAGGGGGTCCAGCACGGACCCGAGGAATCCGCGCGGGCGTTCGAGTTTCTATGTTTATGTCATTGTTCGTTCCCCTACTGATGTCCGCCTCTAGTGCCTCCGCCGATCGGCGCCGGCCGGGAGCTGCCGCCGGGCTCTCCAGAGCCCGGCGGGGACCTCGACGGCCTGCTGGCGCTGGGCTCCGGCGAGGGCCGCGCCTTCGGCGTGGAGCGCGTGGCGCGCTGCCCGAGGAGCTGCTAAGCAGTGGCGAAGCGTCCCGGCTTGCCTATAGGCCCACCAAAGAACCGGGGGCCCCCAAACGGGGTGGTGACCACACCGTGCGGTGAGTCGGTGGGGATTCGGGGTCATCACACGGTTTTGGGACTCGAGTCCCTCTCCGAGGACGTCTCGGGCGACAGGGGCCTCCAGGGTCCCAAAACCGTGCGGTGACGGACCGTGCGGTGAGGTCTCTTGGGTTTCCGAGGTCACCGCACGGTCTGTCACTGCACCGTTTCGGGACTCCAAAGAGAATGTTCCAAGAACGTTCTGCGGTCTGCACGAGAGTTCTAAGAACATTTCTGGCCGAGACTGTCTTGTTTGAACACATCGGGCTTATGTAAGAACATGATTCTTGTTTTTGGAACGTCTTTGGGTTCTACCAAGAAAACTTCGTGGTAGGCCTACAGGAATGCCGCGACGGTCGGTCCTTGCTCAAAGCTTGGAGACGTCTGGGAGTCTGCGGTGGTCCAGCCATGGTCCTGGCCAGCGAGAAGGGCGGGCACGTTCGAGGTTGAGATCGTTTCCTGATTCATGGTTCTGCCGATCGCCACGGGCCCTTGCACCCCCTCCCCCCCTCCCCATGGGAGCAGTTCCTGGGCTGTTTTGGGCGCCCGTTTCAAGCAGGTGGAGTCGCACCCATAGGAGGGGTCCCGGGGCCGATTCTGAGCGGATCTGTCTTCACCCTCGCCGCGCCGAGGAATCGAGGAGGAGGAGGAGGAGGAGGAGGAGGAGGAGGAGGAGGAGGGGGAGGGGGAGGGGGAGGGGGAGGAGGGGGAGGAGGAGGAGGAGGAGGCCTCCCTCTCTTGTCTGATTCTCTCGGGGCCCATCCAGTTCGGACCCCCCGGCCGCCTCCCGCGAGGAACGCAATCGGCAGGGGCGCGCGAGGCCAGAGCCTGTACCGGGTGGTGGTGGACCTGCGGCGCCGTGCCCCGCATCCGAGCGACGGGGTGCTCGAGGAAAAAGGCCGTCCTCGGGTCTCTCGCTCGGCCACACGCAAGATTACCAGCCACGAACGTATCCCTTCCCTAAGATTGACACGCCCAAAAGGCGATGACAATCTTAGGGATTCGCCCTCAAAAAATAAGGGAATCCCTAAGATTGGCATCGTGATGAGGAGGTGCCCAGCATAGGGATAGGGATATGTTCCAGGCTGGTAATAAGAGGGGCGGGGGCTTTTTGGTGCGGGCACGCTGGGATTCCCAGATGGCTGAGTGCGATGCGATAGCAGCGCTCTATGCTCTCGGGTTTGGCCTCCTTGGGGCCCCCCCAGACTCGCGCACCAAAGGTCACTGTTGCCTGAGGGCACTGCGCAGCGGATTCGCTCAAGCCCTCCTCCCCCCTCTCGCCTTCCCCCCATTCCTCCCCGAAGGTCGTGTTCGAAAAGCACGTCCATGTCCTTTGCCACGCGGGTCTGGCCCCTGGGCCGCGATCCCGCGGATGCAGGGCGCTCGTCTCGCGGATGGCCGTGCCGAACGTATCCGGCGACCGTGTATGCGCGGGAGAGCGCCCAAGAATCAATCGAGGGAAGAAGCACGGGGACCATGACCAAGATGTCGCGGGATTTTGTCGATGCCGATTTTGGCATTGGCAATGGCCCACGTCGGCCGTCGCCCATTCGCGAGGATGACCCACACACTGATGCTGACCAAGATCGACGGTGACCAAGATCGGCACGACGCTTCCGCGTTCGGTCTTGGTCGTGGCCCCCCTGTTTTTCTCCCCCCTCCAGTCCAGACCGCGAGGGCGTGGATGTGGACACGTTCGCCGCTCTGTGAGAAGGAGAGAGGAGAAAGGAGGGGCACTATGGAGTGGGCAGGCCTGTCGCGCTCCGCCGGCACCCCCCCAATGCTTGAGGCGGTGGGGCCTGGACCAGGCCGAGCACGACGAGGAACAGGAGCGCGCCCGCTGCTTCGCTGACTTGCTTCGCGCGGTGGATGAGGAAGAGGGGGGGATGAGGAGGAGGAGGAGGAGGAGGAGGAGGAGGAGGGGGAGGAGGAGGAGTTGGAGGAGGAGGAGGAGCAGGAGGAGGAGGGCCGAAGGGCAGGATGAGGAAGAGGAGGAGGACGAGGAGGAGGAGAAGGAGGGGAGGAGGAATAGGAGGAGGATGCGCAGGAGGAGGAGAAGGAGAAGGTTGTCCCTCCCTCCCTGGTTAGTGCCCCCCGATGCCCTTGGCCTTCGGTTCGCGCGCATCCCTGCATGCTGGCCGCTTTAGGCGACTCCGGTACGCCTTCGGCTCGACGTTCTCACCATTTTCCGACCACTGACGGTCATAGCGCCTGCGGCGCAACCCGCGGAGTCAAAAACAGGAGGGGGAGGAGGAGGAGGCGGTGCAGTCGGCTATCTGGCGATCACTCCACCTGGGGAAGCGGACGAGGCAGGGGTGAGGGGAACCAGAGACAGACGTTCACGCTTTGATGGGCCTGCAACATGCCTTACAGGGGAAGACATGATGGGCTGTCCGCTCACGGCGCGCCCTTCACATTGGTCAAGTGTGGGCAACGTTGATTTGTGGCGTATATGTGCGAGTTGCTGTTGGTTGCGTGTGGTGTGCCACATGGCGCCTTCTGCATGGCACGCGTGATGACTTAAGTCTGGGCTGTATCCACTCGCGCGCTCTTCATACTGCCGCCTCTGACGCACCACAACCAATCAATCGCGGCTCCACTTGGGCCACGTGCAATGGTCCGCACAGCCGTAAACCGGTCAAGGGCAGAACTTGAATTCGAGAGAGGAAGGAGGAACGTGTGGTATTATGTCTGGCCTGTCCCACTACAGGGGGATTTTCAACGACAAATCATACATACCCCAAACATAGTCAAAACATATTACAAACATAGTCTGGGGACTATTTTTGATTTTTTGTTTTGCCCATTTTTTTTTTTCGTCGAAGATCCCCCTGTAGGGGGACAGGCCCGACTTAAGTGTAGTATTGCCTGGTTGTGATTTCTCTCATCCCAGACCCCAGGAGGTCTCGACACCACTCCTGGGACCGGCCTTGCTTCCATCCTGGGTAGATCGCTGTCGGTTCCGAGGCCCAGCGGGGGGCCCCCAGAGGCAAGACTCGGAAGTTGGGCGAGGGCTGGCAACTCCGCGGTTGCTATAACAGTTTTCCCGGAGGAAAAAATTAGCCCGGCGAAGGACCCAACCATATGCAGTTGTGAGTACCGCAATTGCGAATATCTTCTTCGGTGGTGCTCCCTATGGGGCCACGAACCGTATGAGGGGTGCGCCGAATTGCGTGGCGGGGTACACAACACGAACGAAAACGATAGGACTAATTACGACAGACTGAGCGCGGGTGAGTCTGACCGCGAGGCAGTCTGACTGTGAATGAATCTGCGTGCGAGTGAGTATATTTGCATGAGTGCGAACATGACCACGCCTGGTGTATATATATATATATATATATATATGTTTATATATACATATACATATATATATATATATATATAAAATATGTGAATGTGGATGGTTCACGTATGCCTGACCCTGAGTACTCGTGACACTGAGCGTGGCCGCCGCCGGAAACTTCCCCTGGAACCCCGACAGCAGCGCCCGCGACGCCCATGTCGGCACGCTCCTCACGAGGATCGCGCCCGCTTCCTTCCCGTTCTTTGTCTCCCTCTTTGCCCGTGCGCGCCTATGTCCAAGGCTGCGGGCGCGGCGCCGCACGGAGTCCCCGCGACGCGCGCGGGTCGTCCGCCGCGCGGAGCAGAGAGAGCTAGCTGGCTGGTTGATAGCGGGCAAGGCTGTGGCCGTTGGGCAGAGCGACGACGGGGGCGAGCGAAGCTCTGGGCAGATTCCCGCGACTCGCGCTGGTCGCCCCCGAGAGGGTCCCAGCGACGCACGCGGGTCGCCCGCGGCGCGAGGCCAAACAATCAGACCGTCGAGGCACGGCGAGGCTGGGACCTTCGGTGGAGCTCCGTATGGGGCAACGAAGCGTGTGAGGGGTGTGCCAAAATGGGGCGGCGGCGCCATGCGAATTGCGCCACTGGGATCTTAAGTGGAGGCCCCTATGGGGCCACGAAACGTGCGAGGGGTGTGCCAGAATGGGGCGGCGGCGCCATGCGAACTGCGCCACCGGGATCGTAGGTGGGGCTCCCTATGGGGCCACGAATCGTGTGAAACGGGTGTGCCAAAATGGGGCGGTGGCGTCATGCGAACTGCGCCATTACGACCTTAGGTGGAGCTCCCTGCGGGGCCACGAAACGTGTGAGGGGTGGCGGCGGCGCCATGCGAACTGCGCCACTGGGACCTTAGGTGGAGCTCCCGCAGGGGTCGCGAAACGTGTGACGCGTGTGCCAAAATTGGGCGGCGGCGCCATGCGAACTGCGCCACTGCGACCTGAGGTGGAGCTCCCCATGGGGCCACGAAGCGTGTGAGGGGTGTACCGAAACAGAGCGGCGGCGCCATGCGAACTGCGCCACCGGGATCTTAGGTGGAGCTCCGTATGGGGCCACGCAGCGTGCGAGGGGCGTGCCAACATGGGACGGCGGCGCCATGCGAACTGCGCCATTGGGACCTTCGGTGGAGTTCCCTATGGGGCCACGAATCGTGTGAAACGGGTGTACCAAAATGGGGCGGCGGCGCCATGCGAACAGCGCCACTGGGATCTTAGCTGGAGCTCCGTATGGGGCAACCAAACGTGTGAAGGTCGTACCGAAGCATAGCGGCGGCGCCATGCGAACTGCGCCACTGGGATCCTACGTGGGGCTCCCTATGGGGCCACGAAGCGTGTGAAACGGATGTGCCACAGTTTGGCGGCGGCGCATGCGAACTGCGCCATTGGGACCTTCGGTGGAGCTCCCTATGGGGCCACGAAACGTGTGAGGGGTGTAACGAAACAAAGACATCATGAAGGTAGGGGCAAAGACTGGGAGAAGGGAGGAGGGAGGAGGAGGAGGAGGAGGAGGAGGAGGAGGAGGAAAAGGAACAACAGGAAACGGGAGGGAGGGACGCGCGGCGCCGTCTCTTCGAAACGACGACCCAACATCACAGGATGGTTGGGTTAAACTTTCGGAATACAACTCAGCGCACTGAGTAATACACAGGCTGCTTCCCGGAAGAGAAGACGAAGAAACACAACAGTTTCCCGGAACCCCGTTTTACCAGCCACGGGTTTGCCACCCTTCGCTTGGCTTCAGCAGGACAGCAAAAAATGCTTTGCCGCCATTTCTGCTCACGTCCAGAGGCGGCGCGGTTCTGCCCAGCCAGGGCCCGCGCACGGCTCGAGGCCCGTCCCGCTTGGCGCGCGTGCTCGGCAACGGGCCCTGGCGGGCCTCACAGGCCTGGCCCCGGTGGCCACCCTCCCCAAAGGTGGACGAGCGCAGGGGCGGAGGGGGACAGGGAGGAGCGAAGAGCGGGGGGGAGGAGGAGGAGGAGGAAGAGGAGGAGGAGGAGGAGGACAAAGGAGGAGGAAGAGGAGAAGGAGCAAGAAAAGGAGAAGGAAAAGGAGAAGGAGAAGAAGGAGGAGGAGGAGGAGGAAAAGGAAGAGGAAGAGGAGGAGGAAAAGGAATACTCATAATAATATAATAATAATAGTAAAAATACTAATACTACGAATGCTAATACTAATAGTCGTACGAATACGAATGACAATTCGAATAAGAAAAGAATGACTAATAATAAGCGTACTAATCATACTAATAATCATAAGGAGAAGGAGAGTTTTTTGACATGAACTACGAGGCGAATGATTAGCACCACGGAACTGGCCCCACAGTGAGGTGCCGTCCCCTGCAGATACGATTGAACAACGTTCTCTGTTTGGGCGTGGGCTTAGTACACTCTTTAGCCAAGCCTCGAATATGGCTGTGAGCGGCATAAGAATAGCATCGGATACAAACTGTAATTACCGTGCCATTAGAAACGGGAGCTGTGACAGGAACGTGGCCTAACTCCAGCAAAATTGGGCCGTCCAGGCGAGAAACATCGACACAAACACCAGGCGGAGGGGGCAGACCTGACCCCTCGATAGTGCGCCCCCGCAAGCAGTTCTGACACCTCCAGACATTGCGAGCACCGTAGGAGACGTGAACCCACTCATGGGGAGGGCCCTGGGGCTCCTTGGGCTCGGGCGGCAGGGCAATCCAGGGGGCATCCGACAAATCGAGGCGGGGCCACCTGGGGAGGAGATTGGCCGCCAGGGAGCACACCGCCTTAGAGACACGAGTACGCAAGTCGAGCTCTCTGAGCTCGCTGTCGGACGCCCTTGGATGAGACAAAACGGCAAGCTTGGCGGCCTCGTCGGCCTCTGAATTCCCAGTGCGCAGTCAGCGCTCCTGGTGAGAAATTCCCGCCTCGCGCGGGTCAAGATGGGCTTTGACTTTAACGGCCGCGTCGATTAAAGCAGCCCCTACCCGAAACAACATCATTAGCCCCGCGAGCGGGCGCTTATAACTGAGCTGCACGGCAGGGGGCGCTTGGCACTGCTGGACAACATTAGCACAGTCAGAGAAAAAGGTGGAAGGGCCACTAATCTCCATTCCACCGCGGGCGATTCCCGCAAATTCGGAACACTGGGACGTCTGAGGGAAAGGGGCGCGCACGGGCCCGAGGAGCCTGCCTAGCCTACGACCATCATCGCCCAGAGCCACGAGCCCATAACCCGCACGGGACAATTCGCAAATCTCGTGTCGAAGGCAGCTGCCATCGACAAAAATATTACCTGCAAGTATGCCACCATGCTGGGGAGGTTCGTCCCAGAGCATACGGGATTGAATGGGTCCGTTCTCGCTAGCAGGCCTCGGAAAGGTATCCCCAGGGTGAGGGAAGAGGCCCCTGTTGAACAGCAGGTGGTCGAGGGGGTCGGACATATCCGCGTCAGCGGCCATCCTGAGAATATCAGGCTCCACCAGCTCTTCTCTTAACGAGGCAACAGACGGGCAACTCCAG